AAGCCGAGCCAAAGCTGGTTCAGTAGCAAGTAGCCCCGAGAGAAGAGGTATCATTGGAAATGGTGGAAGTGGTCTTCAAAGGAGTCCCTCTCAAGATCTCCAAAGAATCTTGGATCAGGTTATCAGCCACCTTCCGCAATGTGGAACCAGGTGATCCTACAGCGGATCCCTTCAGCAACCAGACTCCTCAAGTCATCGCTTCAAGTTCTACCGACTCATTGGATGTGGTATCATCTACAGATCCTCCTCCAGGGTTCGAACATGTTAAGAAACCCTCTAAAAAGAAAGCCTGCTCGAGAAGAAACTCTTTTCTACCTCACAAGAAACATCTGGCTATCATGAAAAGGAGCTTCCCACCAGGCGGCAAAAAAGATAAATCTAACTCATCTAGTGAATTCTCCTCTCCTATTAGTTTGAATGAGATGCAGGTAATAGCCTCCAACTGTGGAATTCTAGAGCCCATTGATCCCCTAGATCTTTTGGCCATTCAGTCATCTGATATAGTAGGGTGATCAAATCCCTGATCATTAGGGGTCTCCATTAGTTGAAAGTAGTCTTCATTCAAATTTTATGAAGGTAGGTACTTGGAATGTCAGAGGGTTAAACAACCCAACAAAAAGAAGGATAGTGAAAGAATGTATCAATTTGGCTCATTGGACTTAGTGGGCCTTCAAGAATCTAAACTGAATTCTCTCTCCCCCAGTACAATCAGAAGTCTGGGTGAAAATTTTTCGTGGAACTCTCTAGATACTTCAGAATCTAGGGGTGGTGTTCTCTTAGGTTGGAGAGACTCTTCCTTATCCTACACTTCATTCAGCTCAGGGATTTTTTGTGTCACTGGTCATTTCATCCACAAACAATCTAATTGGGCATTTGCAGCTACCTCTGTGTATGCCCCCATAGATAAAGAAGAAAGAGTAGTATGTTGGTGGGAATTATCGAGAATTAGGTCTACTATCTCTAAGTCGTGGGTAGTTTAAGGAGATTTCAACATGACAGTGAGTATTGAGGAGAGGAGTGGCAGATCTGGTTCTATTAGAGATATTAACAGGAGATTTCAACATGACAGTGAGTATTGAGGAGAGGAGTGGCAGATCTGGTTCTATTAGAGATATTAACAGATTTAAACATCTCATTGATTCTCTTGTGGGAGAGGAGTGGCAGATCTGGTTCTATTAGAGATATTAACAGATTTAAACATCTCATTGATTCTCTTGTTCTCACAGACATCCCTATGAGTGGTAGAAAGTTCACTTGGTCCAATCAGAGAGTCAATCCATCTCTAGCAAGACTGGACAGATTCCTAATATCTTCTGAATTTGAAGCCCAATTCCCTCTTTTGGTCTAGTACTCTTTCCACTCCCTTTGTTCAGATCATTGCCCTGTCATTTTGGATACAGGAGGGTTATCTACATCCCATATTTTCAGGTTTGAAAAAGCTTGGCTTCTTAACTCCTCATTCTATCCATTCATCCAATCTTGCTGGGTTTCATTCATCCCTAAGGGAGCATTGTCCTCTTCCCTCCCTTTCAAAATAAAGCTTATTCGTAAGAGAATGAAATGGTGGAGAAAGAATGTTATGCAATCAAATCACTTCCTCAGATCCCAAATCATGCAAACTCTAAACTCTCTTAACAGCAAAGAAGAAACTCATCCTCTCTCTTCAGCAGATCTCTCTCTAAGAACTCATCTCCGAGAACATATTTTTAAGTTAGCTCAGGTAGAGGAAACAAGGTGGAGACAGAGATCTAGAATCCAATGGCTTAAAGAGGGAGACAACAATACTTCCTTTTTCCATAAAATTGCATCTCAATGTAGAAGAATTAATTTCATTCCTCACCTACAATTTGGTAACTCCATTCTCACTGCTCAAGAAGATATTAAACAATCTTTTTTCTCCTACTTCTCAGAGTTGTTTCAAGCTAGAGACAAACCAAACCTTCATATCAATTGGAACAAATTATATCCATCTCAGTCTGTTGATCTCTCTATTTTGGAGCTCCCTTTCTCGTCTGAGGAGATTAAGAAAGCAGTGTTTGAGCTCCACCCAGATAAGTCTCCTGGTCCAGATGGTGTCCCCATCCTTTTCTTCCAAAGGTTCTGGACTGTTATAGAAAAGGACGTCATATCTTTTGTCCAATCCCTACACTCAAATCCCAATCTTCTCCACAACATTAACTTCTCCTATATTTGTCTCATTCCTAAAAAATAAGATGCCTCCACCCCATCAGATTTTAGACCTATTAGCTTGATAAACAGTGTTGTAAAGATCTTTTCCAAAGTTCTGGCTAGTAGATTGAGCCCTCTCATACCTTTGTTGGTGGATAAAACTCAATCAGCCTTTCAAAGTGGTAGATCTGCTCTTGATTCCATTCTTTTAGCCCATGAGATGATTAATTTTGGCTCTTCAGGGAAAAAAGAAATATGTGCCCTCAAGATAGATTTCTTCAAAGCTTTTGATTTGTGTTCAATGGGACTTCCTTCTCTCCCTCCTCAAAGCCAGAGGATTCAAAGATAAATGGTGTCATTGGGTATCCCTCATCCTCTCCTCAGCCAAATCATATGTCCTGGTTAATGGCTCCCCCACTACCTTCTTTCAGTGCCATCGGGGTCTCAAACAGGGTGACCCCCTCTCCCCTTTACTTTTCTTATTGATAGTAGACGTGCTCAATAAAATGATATCTGCTAGTGTTCTCTCAGGGGACCTTTTAGATCTTAATCTGAAAGGACAACTGAACTCACTAAACTCTCTTCAGTTTGCTGATGATACTCTTATTTTTTGCAAAGCTTCTCCAAAGGATATTGACACTCTCAAAATCATTCTGCTTATCTTTGGTAATATATCTGGTCTTTCCGTGAACCTCTCCAAATCCCAGCTTCATTACTTAAGTAGATATCCTAACAAGGGATCTATCTTAGCTGACAGGTTCAACTGCTCCCTAGGCTCGACCCCCTTCTCTTATCTGGGTCTCCCTCTCAGAAAGGGCTCCTTATCCAAAAGAGATTGGCAACCCCTCCTTGAATCCTTCTCCAGAAAACTGTCCTTATGGAAACATAAATCTCTGTCAATAGGGGGCAGACTCACCCTTCTAAATCTGTTTTGTCTTCCCTCCCTCTGTACTTCATGTCTTTTTTTAAACTTCCTCAGTGGCTCATCAAAGCCATAGATAAAATCAGAAGAAAATCTCTATGGGGTTTCCATCACCAATCCTTCAAACCTAAGAGTTTAATTAACTGGGGTAGAGTATGCAAGCCCAAGCAGGAGGGGGGACTGGGAGTCATCAACTTGCACATGTTTAATCAAGCTCTTTTATCCAAGTGGATCTGGAAAATCAGTGATAAAAGCTCTTTCATCAGCAATGTCATTTTCTCCATTTACTCCACTAACTCCTCCAACCCTCTAGCTTTCCCTCCTAGAGCCTCAACATCTAAGTTTATAAAAGATTTACATTCTATTAACGTCCCTTTCTTCAGTATGTCTCATTGGGAAATAGGTGATGGCTCAAGTTGCAGATTCTGGCTAGACAAGTGGGTTTGTGAGAACTCTCTTAGTAGTTTATTCCCCAAGGTGTTCCAATTAGCATTTCCCCCTCTCTGCTCAATCCAGTCCCAAGGATCCTTCATCCAGGGGTTGTGGAGATGGCACCCTATTATCAAAAGAGATTCAACATCTAAGTCAAGAGAAGAAATCAACCAGTTGTACTCTCTCCTCAACTCAATTAGACAACCTGTAGTTCAAGACCCAGATAAAATTTTCTGGTCACTCCAATCCTCTAAACTGTTCTCAGTGAAGCCATGCTACAACTTTCTCAACCTTGGTGGAACCAAATTTCATCTATTCAACTTCATATGGAAATCTCCTATCCCTCATAAGGTAAAAAATTTCTTCTGGATCCTCAGTCAGTAGAAATTTCACACAAGGGATGTCTTATCCAAAAAAGGGTGGACTGGAGATATCATCTGTCCCATATGCAATATGTCCAATGAGTCTCATGATCATCTCTTCATTCATTGCCAAGTTACTAGAGAGGTTTGGTCATTGATCGTTCCATTCCATACCTCAGATAAGTGGTCTAACAACATGTATTCCCTTCTCTCTGGGTCTCTTGATAAATCTATAGACCATCGATTAAGGATATTATGGAGAGTTATCCTCCCAGGCTACTGTTGGAGAATATGGTTTAGCAGGAACAATCTTATATTCAATGGTGTCTCAACCTCCCCCTTGCATATACTGTTGGAGAATATGGTTTAGCAGGAACAATCTTATATTCAATGGTGTCTCAACCTCCCCCTTGCATATAGCATCTCATATTGCTCGTTTTACTTTCAATGGTGTCTCAACCTCCCCCTTGCATATAGCATCTCATATTGCTCGTTTTACTCTTCAATGGACAAGTTTGGTGCCTAGCAAAAGATCAGCAACAATCCACAAAGTGGCCATCGAGCTCGGACTTCAGGAGCTAGCAAAGGTCACTTCGAGGGATGCAGTAGGAGAAAACTTCTGAGATCTTAGAAGAATTCTTCTTTTGTAGTAGTTATATGTTTTAAGGTAGTAGGGGAAGTTCTTCGAAACAATTCCCAGGAGACTCTTTCTTCTGGTTTTTTGGTTTATGTATGGGTTTTTTTTTTGGTTTTTTGTTAATCCTGGGATGATTGGAAACAATTTAGAATAGGCTCGGAAAGTGACGACGATGTCCTCTCCTCTCCAGCCTATTCTTCTTCTGGTTCTTTTTATCTTGGGGTTTTTTGGTCACTATGTATATTCTATCATCTTTTGATTTATATAAATATATATGAACAGGGAATCTCTCCCTGTTTCTTTCGATAAAAAAAAGGTAAAGAATAATTTGCAATTTCTTTTTTATCTTTTTATAATTTCTAGTATTTTAATATTATCCAAAAGATTTCTTCTCCTACCATTTGATGTGCATCTAATCTTCGTTCTAGGTACTTCGTCACCCGAAGGAGCTGTAGATTTTCTCCTACCCGAGATGGAATTAGAAGTTAAAATTGGTTCCATAGGTAAATTTATGGCTCCATTTTGGCTTGTATATAGTTTTTTCTTTACTTCATTTACTTTTTAGAAGTTTTTGTCCTTTTTTCTCTCTTTTTGCGGATGAGAAAACTCATGCAAAATGCTACTACAATTAAGTTAAACACAAATGTTAATTTCCTTCAACTAGAACATACACAATAAATATTAGATAAAATCTTAACCATGCAAGTTATTATATATTTTTTATTCGTTATGAAATTTTAATTAGAACAAAAAAAGGCTAAATTTAGATCATGATATATTGCGTAATTTTTCTAATCATGCTAATTTTTTTTTAAACATAGGTAGTACAGAAGAATGTGACCTTTTCAAGGGACAGTGGGTATCAAACCCCTTAGGACCCTCTTACACCAACAATACTTGTAATTTTATCGATGACACGAGCAATTGTCTGAAGAATGGACGACCTGATACTGGGTATCTCTATTGGAAATGGAAACCATACGATTGTGAGTTGCCTCCATTAGATGCAGATAAATTCATGAAGTCTATGAGGGATAAATCTTGGGCATTTATTGGTGATTCTATTCTCCGAAACCAAATGCAATCACTTACTTGCATCCTCTCTAAGGTAAAACTTCTTTCAGGAGTAGCTTCGGTCTAGTTTCATATTTACAATTTTTACTTCCGGGTATGCAATGAAAAATTATTTTTTTTGAAAATCCACGTGGCTCCAAAGTTGCAGCCTGTAAGCCAATATAGTTAACTGATTTGGGGTCCAGAAGCTCTACCATCTATGTAAAGAATGCCTACAATTTATTATGTGAATTAATACTATTGATTTATTTCAGTGAGCCCCACAGTAATTTTTTTAAAATATAATTTAGATAAAGAATATAATTTACGTGGTTTACTAAGTGAAGAGATATTATTGATAGATTGTTGAGTTCCTCTACAACTAGTATGTAGAAAATCCCTAGGCACTAATCTGTATGCTTACTGGGCTTAACCATCTTTCAAATGATATTTCAAATGATTGATTTACTTAGTGGCTGTTCGGTTACCTCGGCTTTCATATGATTTGGTGAAAAAAAATGGGCTCCTTTCAAAATTTGTGTTAGAATTAAAATCAGTGTACAAAATTTCTAGTTTGTTTGAATGTATTTTGGTGAAAAAACTGGGGCCCATTCAAAATTTATGTCAGAATTAAAGTCAGTGGACAAAATTTTTGTTTTGTTTTGGGGTGTTTGTTTCACTCTTTTTATAAAATAGGAATAGGCAAAGCTGTAAATAAGGTTTCTAAATGCATCATATTCCTAAGTTTGGTTCATAACAATTTTATGGATTTTGAAATCTATAAAGTTGGAAAAGATGAGGGTTTTTTATCGAAACCCAAATCTAATGAGTTTGGGTGAAATTGGGTAAAAAAGCTGACACCACCCACTTCATTTCCCTTTCTCTTTGTTTTTCGGAATCCGCCACCCCACAAACCCTTGACTGGGTTTCGGCCTTCTCCCGCTAATCTTCTCCCGCCTCTTCTCAATCCTCTCGCGCCTCTTCTCGAGCTGTTCTTAGATTTCTTTTTTAAAGACGAGGTTCTGGATCGAGCTCTATTGTCGGTTGTTAACTTCGATTTCTATCGGTTTAGGTTTCTGTTTATAGCTTCGATTACGAGCTTTGAGTTGGCTTCAGTGGGTTGCTATCGGTTGGTTAGGGTTCTGTATACAGCTTCGATCTTGAGCTTCTTTGATCGATTATGATCTTCGATTTTGATCATTGATGCCAAGCTGAGTTGGCTTTGTTATTGCGGTTGGTTGCTGTCAGTTGGTTGCTTCGGTTTTCAGCTTCGATCTTGAGCTCCTTTTTTCGATTTCGAGCTATGATTTCGAGGTTTGATCCCAAAAATTTCTCGGTTGGTTGCCTCGATTGGTTGCTTTGGTATGTTGCTTCGGTTTTCAACCGTGAATTACCACCTAGGCAGTTAGAGGTATAAATCTATAACTCATTAAAAAAATTAATAAACGATCATGTATGATTATTTGTCATGGTTTTATTTTGTAGTGGATGTTTGATAATTTAGAGCTTTGTTGCTTCGGTTATTTGTCGTAGTTGATCATGGATGGTTATTAATTGCTTATTTAATATATGAATTAGTAATTTCGTTTTAAGATTGCAATATATGAATTAGTTGTTTCATTACGAAACTAGTTAGTGGTAAGAATACCTAAGGTGTTCTCACCATTTATCCCAAAAAATTATCATTCCAAACCAAACTAAAAAAATAGGAATTGGAGGGTTTCTATAAAGTTGGATTCTATATTTTCATGTAATGAAACAAACATAGAAAGGTAAAAAACAATAGGACTCCATAATATTCCATGACAACATAAAATTGTCCTTAATTTTTTTTATAGATTAGAAATAAATCCATAAAATACATCATTTTCCTAATCCTATTCTTGCTCACTATGTATTTGGGGAAGTGAGAAAGTGCGCTGCATCATCAGTTTGTGGTTCCCAAAGAAATATTTATAGAATTTTCTTTCAAAGTTAACTTTTGACTCAAACTATTCTATATATTAATCAAACGCAATACTAGTAATTCGGGTTGTTAAAGATTTTTCAGATCTCTGACATAAATTGTCATAAGTTTAAAATACAAATCCAACAACCAAGCAGCCTTGCCTCTTAACATCAAATATTTTCTTTATTTCAGGTAGAAGAACCTGTAGAGACCTACCACGATGAAACGTCAAAATCAAGAACATTCTATTTTCCTTCCCACAATTTCACACTCGCAACAATTTGGGCTCCTTTTCTCGTCAAATACAGGGAAAATGATAATATTGCTAATTCCATACGAAATAAAGAGTTCCAAGTTTATCTGGATACCCTCGAAGAAAAATGGACCCAAAGTTATCACAAATATGATTACATCGTAATCGCCTCCGGCCAGTGGTACCTAAAAAGTATAATACTGTGGGAGGACGGGAAAATCGTCGGATGCCATAATTGTGCAGAGAAGAGCATCAAGGAAATAGGTGTAGAACACCCTTATCGTAGATCTCTTAAAACGGCATTCAATTTTATCACTTCATCAGATCATAAACCCTTGGTCTTTTTCCGAACTTGGATGCCTGATCACTTTGAATACGGCGAGTGGTTCAGTGGAGGGATCTGTAACAGGACTCGACCGTACAAAGAAGGTGAGTACAATGGAAAGGAGTTTGATCAGGTGATGAGAGACGTCGAGGTGGATGAGTTTGCGAAAGTGGTTGAAGTTGCGTCTGAGAGAGGGACTCATATTAAACTGCTCGATACGTTTCATCTTTCGTTGCTGAGACCAGACGGCCATCCAGGCCCTTATAGGCATTATCCTCCGTCTGATACAAATAAGACCGCGAAAATTCAGAATGACTGTCTTCATTCGTGCTTGCCTGGTCCTATTGATACATGGAATGATCTGACCATGAAGATAATGGTGGATGGAGGAGCTATTAAATCATCTTCACACATGTTCGTGATTTAGCAACGTACATATGATAATAATTGTTTAAATATCGAAGAACATGGTTCATGCAGTTGATCCTAGAAATTCAGAATAAAGACTTATTGTCCTTGGTATATCATAATTTCATATTAATTTGTGTTATTCGTTACTATTGTATTTGTAAGATGATGTAATCCTATATATTAAGTATGTGTGTGCTGTAAATATACTATTTGCAAATAATTTGGATTCTCTCCATTATAAAGAAGACCCCTTGAAGTCTTTTCGAGCATTTTTTAAATAAGTTCCTCCCAGCTCGATCTATGTACAAGTCTCGTAAAATCAAACATTAATATCGACCATATACCCGAAAATTTTGACAAATTAAATATCAACACCTAAATTTTTTTTGAACTGGGATATTGTAAGGTTTGTCTCATAGAAAAGTTATGATAGTTTTATCTTTATGTAAAATCCCCAAGGTCATTGTAGCTTTTGACATTTTCCCCATTTCTCTACAAGTGACTGTCGTTTGCTTGCACGTGTAGTTTGCTTGCACGTGATCTATTTTCAGATGTCACAAAAAGTTAAGCCAACACGAACTAGAAGATTGGTCCGTGTAACTGTCACGGGCTGATTCTTTCACCACAAACCTCATTCGAACCC